TTTAAGGGGAAATTATTTTAATATAATAAAAAATATATATTCTAAAAAACTACGTACCTCTATACGAATATTTATAACTATTTAGAAAAAATTACTTATAATATAATAAAAATAGGGGATAAGTATAATGTTATTCTAGGAATTATATAGTTACGTAAGTATAATTTATAAATAAATTAGAGAATAGGCTACTTCTAATAAATAAACTTAGTTACTAAACGGCCTTATAAGGAGGGTTTAAATAAATCTTATATAGTACTTAGAATACTAAAAAACGAAATAAGATACTTAGCTTATATTAAAAAAGTAAAGCCGAATAGGGCGCTCGTATTAATAATAAATAATTAGGGATCGGATCTATTTTAAATTATACTTAAAGAGTACTAAAAATATACGAAGCTATTTATTATAAAAAAAGAAATAAGACTTTCAAAATATAGTAATTAAAATATAAAAATAAAAGTTAAAAAAAAAAATAACCGTAATTCTATTTACTATATACTTTTAACTAGTAAAAATAATAAAAACTTAACGACTACCTTAAAAAAATACTTACTAAAAGATATATTAAACCCTCTAATTTATTAACTAGAATACTAATATTTTTTATACTAAAAAAGAATAGAAAGTTATAATTTATAATTAATTATTAAAGATTTAACTTAATTATTAAGAAGAATTACTACCCCTTACCTCTTATTACTAAACTTAGAGAACTATTATATAAAGCTAATCAGTTTATTATAATAGATTTTAAAATAATATTTAACTAAATTAAAATTAAATAAGGAGACGAATAGAAAATTATATTCTAAATATAAAGAGGACTTTTTAAGTACCTTGTTATACTTTTTAAATTTATTAACGTACTTACTACTTTTTAAATAATAATTAACTACGTACTTAGGGAGTACGTTAATATTTTTATTATTATTTATATTAATAATATCCTTATTTTCTTACTTAACTTAGAAATATATAAAAAATATATTTATATAGTATTTTAAAAACTCTAAAATATAAAACTCTTTACTAAACTAAAAAAATACGAATTTTATATATAAAAAATAGATTTTTTAGGTTATATTATTATATTAAGAGAAATTTATATATAATAATTTAAAATAAAAGTAGTTAGGGACTAGCCTATATTTCTTAATATTAAGAACGTTTAATTTTTTTTAAAACTTATTAATTTTTATTAATAATTTTTTAAGGGATATATTAATATTATAAAACCCCTTAATAATTTAATATAAAAAAATATACTATTTATTTAGAACCTTAAATATAAAAAAACATTTACTAAAATTAAAAATATAATTATAATTAAACTAATTATTATAATCCTAAATCTAACTAAACTTTTTAAAATAAAAACTAATATTTTAAACTTTATTATAAGAGTAGTACTTAGCTAATAAAATAATAAAAAATACTTATAACTTTACGCTTTTTATTTTAAAGCTTTTTATAAAGCCGAGTTTAATTATTAAATTTATATTAAAAAACTAATAACTATTATTAAAGCTTTTTAAGAATAGAGATTATAGTTATTAAATACTAAGTACGAAGTTATAGTATATATAAATTATAAAAATCTTATATATTTTATTATATTTAAAAACTTAAATAAATAATAAGTTTAATAATTAAAATACCTCTCTAAGTACTATTTTAAAATAGTTTATTAAAAAAGATCTAAGAATAGTAAAATAAACGCTCTTAATAAAAAACCTAATTACGAAGTTTAAGTCCTTAAAGAAATATAAATTATCTTTAAAAAAGATATAAGTAAAAACCTTATATTAGTTTATAAACTCCTAATAATAATTAGAAAAGGTAATACTAGCTCGATTAAAAAAATATCCTATAAGACTATTATAAAAATATATAATACTAAAATATATAGTTATTAAGGTATTATAAAAATATAAGAATAAATTTATTAATACTATAATAAATCCGCTATATATATTAAAATTATTAATATAATTAAGGATTATATAACTTATAAAAAAGATAAAAATAGCCCTTATAAATTTTATAAAGAGCTATAGTTATTACTACTCGTATTAAAAGTATAGTACTTAATTTTATAAAACTTTATTATTAAACTTCCTAAGTCTAAAAAACTATTTATAAAAATATAATTTAATAGTATTTTAATTATTATTAATTAACTTACTAAGTACGTATATTTCGTACTATATAAAGAATTAAGTAATATAAAAAAACTTATATATACGTTCTTAAAAATAGTTATTATAAATTATAGAGTACTTAAGGAAATTGTTTTTAATAAAAAAAGTATATTTATTTTAATATTTTAAAAATATCTTATTTTATAACTTAATATAAACTATAAACTATTTACCGCTTTTTATTTATAAACTAATAAATAAATAAAAAGGATTAACTAAATTTTAAAAACTTACCTCCGCTATTATATTAACTATAACTAAAATAACTAAGTATTATTATTATTAATAGCTTAGTTTATATATAATAATATAATAAATAAAAGTATAAAATACTTACTATTTTATTTTAATTATAATTACGAGTTAATTATTTATAAAAAAGTATAATAAGGATTATAAGCTATAAAAGCCGTAATAAACGTAAATAAACTTAAAAAACTCTAAGTAAAAATCTTGCTAAACTTTAAGTTTATATAATTATAAATAAAAAAATACGTTAATAAATTAAGGATTAAAAGACTATTTTTAAAAAAAAGGGAATAATACTTATTTTTTTTACTAAAATATTAAAATAAAATAACTAAATAATAAATTAAATTATAAAAAACTTAAACTTTTTAAAATTTTATAAAAAGTCTTAAATATTAACTATAAGCTAAGACTCCTAGATATAATAAAATACTATTTAGTTTTTTATATTTTGCTTTTTAAACTAATATTAAAAAGCTCTTATATAAAAAATTATATTATTATAAAACTAAACGAATTAAAATATGAAATTAAATAAATTATTAATTATAGAATTAAAAACGAAATATAAAAATTCTTAATTAAATAAAAGAACTATAAATATAAAAAAAATATATAAAAACTTATTACGAACTTTTAGAATTTTTAATAACTTTTTAAAAATTATTAAAAAATAGTATTAACGGGCCTAGGGATACGAACTCGTTATTAATTTTAAAAATAAATTAGTTTATATTATTAAGAACTTATATAAACTATAACTTTTTAATTATATTATACTTATAAATATTTAATATAGACTCTAAAGTATTAAACTTATTTACTTTTTATATCCCCTAATAAAAAGTCTTAGCTTAACGCTTACGTACTAGTTTCTAAGTTTTCTAAATATAAAATAAATAATTAGTAATAATAGCTATTAATAATTAAAAACGAGCTAACTTTTTATAAAGTTTTAAAAGCTTCTTACTCGCTTTTTTTTTATCTTATTTTTTTTATTAAATATTAAGTTTTTAAATTATAAAGAATACTAAAATAATATAAAAATAAAAATAAAAATAAACTTATGAGTTAAAGTTATTAATACTCTATTATAAGGCTTTTTTATTTTAATATAAGTATAATAACAAGAAAAACCTTTACTAAACTAATATAAAACCTTAATACAAAGATAATAAATATAAAATATATTAATAACTACTAAACGAGCTTTAATAAACTCTAAAAGTACGAGGTACTTATAATCTTTTATTTTTATTTTTTTAAATTTTATTTTTAAACTTAATTTTTTATATAATTTAATATAATATTAATATTATAAAAAATAAATAGAAATAAATAACTTAACTAGCCCTAACCTAGGCCGCGGAGATTTACTTATAAATTTATAAGACTAGACTTTTAAAAAAGAGACTTAATATTATAACTTAATACGTATAACTAAAACTAAGGCCTACCCCGTAGGCCTTTAATAGCTATAATATATTATATATATATAATAATACTAATATAAGAATTATTTTAATAAAATAAAAGAACTATAAATAAGTTATATAATAATAAAAAGAACTAATAAATAATAAGCGGTTTATAAATAAAACTAATAAAATAAAACCGGTTTATTTTTATAAAATTAATAAATAATAAGTAGTTTATAAATAAAATTAATAAAATAAAAATAGTTTACTTTTATAAAACTAATACTATAATATTAGTCCTAATTATAAAAAAACTATTTAAATAATATACGAGATTTATATATAAAATAAACTCGAGCTAGGCTCGAAGATAGATTTTTATAGCTTTTTTAATAATTAACTTAGTATTAAATTTTATAATTATTTTTAACTATTTTTATTAAAACCCTTTTTAATAAAACTATAATTAATTATTAAAAACTTACTTATTTTATAATTTATAAATATAGCTTTAGAGAAACTAATTTTTTTATATCTTTTAGTTAACTATCAGTCCCTAGCGCGAGGAGTGTTTTACTATATATCTTTCGATATATACTACTCCCATTCCTTGCTAGTGGATTAAGTAACTATCACGACCCACAAAGTAGGCGCAAAATCAACGACATGGCCCAGGGCAGTCAGACTCACCGTCATCAACCGCCCGAACTCGTAGCGTGATGGCATTCTCTCGGGTCGTCATGCGACGCGGTGTCAACATCGGCCTGAACTCACAGCGGACGTTTTCCTCGCGAAGCAGGTTGACGTTATCTTATGACCTGCATGAGCCTAGTAAGCGACCTGTCGGGGGATCCTCCACCCCCATCATTTTTCTCCATGGTCTTTTCGGATCCAAGAAGAACAACAGGAGTATCAGCAAGCGAGTTCATCCATGACTGCACGGCTCTGATACGGCACGCTGACCGCCAAGTAGAGTTCTCGCTCGTGACTTGGGTAGACCAGTATATGCCTTGGTAAGATTCACAGGCTGCATCCGCCAGCACGTCAGATGGGGTTTCACTAAGATTTTGCATAGGACCTACGCAACCATGGTGAATCGCCTCACGCCAAGCAGCACGACTATGTCCATATGGCGGACGACGTTGCTGCATTCATGGACCAGCATGGACTGACGCTGCCCACTGTCATCGGTCACTCGATGTGAGTCGTTTCCATTTAAATGCTTTACGCTGCTGCATGCTGAACGAGATGAACCATTCCCAGGGGAGCCAAAGCTGCCATGACCCTTGCTTTGAAGTCACCCGAACTTGTGCAAGATATCGTGGCGGTTGATAATGCGCCTGTTGATGCTGTCTTGGAGAGCTCATTTAGCAAGTATATCCAGGGTTTGAAGAGAATCGAAGCAGCGAACATCACGAAGCAGGCTGAAGCAGACGAGATCCTGAAGGATTACGAGGATGTGAGATTATTCCACTTTACTCTTAGATGGGTTGCTCGATCAATCATGCTCACCACGGTGCTCCAGTCTCTCCCTATCCGCCAATTTCTTCTGGGTAATTTGTATCGGCCCGAGGCTGGTAAGCCACAGCAAAAATTCCGGGTGCCCCTCGACATTATCAGTCGGTCCTTGATCCACATGGGTGATTTTCCATTCAAGGACCCGACAAAGACTCGCTTCGAAAAGCCTGCTCTATTTGTCCGGGGCACCAAAAGCAAGTACGTGCCCGATGACGTTCTGCCGACGATTGGGCAATTTTTTCCCAAGTTCCGACTGGCAGATCTTGATGCCGGACACTGGTGCATTTCGGAGAAACCAGAGGAGTTTCGTCAAGGTACATTAGCACTGTATCCTGGAGATTTAGTCACAATACTGATCATTCCTCGCTAGCGGTTGTTGAGTTCCTAAAGAACCAAGACTAGAGGGTCCTCGGGGGTAGGCTGCTGTTGCTGTTTCACTCATTCTTCACCAAGCCACTATGCATGATCGGCGAGTAGTGTTAAGGGCATGTATTTAGACTAGGCAAACGTTTTTGACGGGGCCACATAGACTTGCTATAGACTCAATCCCACAAGGGACTTTTCGTACGCCGTGGTACTGAGAATTCGTTAGGCGGCCCTCGTAGGTCGGATTCTTCACAAGTTAGGGGAAATGAGCAAAGTCATGATGGCCGGGCCACCAGCGGACCTTGAGCTGGAGCGCGAAAATCCCAATCAAGGGGAGCAGCCTCGCATTTCCCAACCCGTGCTAGACAAGTCGCAGCCAGGCTGCGTACATATTGTAGAGTGTCTTTAAAGAATTGACCATTTACCATTTTGAGGTACCCTAGACCCGCAGCCGCCTTATATGCTACGCCATGTGCAACGACCTAAAACAATGCCGGATTTGTTTCCCGGCTGGTAGAGCCAGAGTCCCCTTCTGCCGGAGCATCCATCATGCAGGGCCTGATTCCTTTAAACCTCCTCAAGAACGCGCTCCTTGAACTCCCGCTCAACCTTCTGTCCCTGGTCGTCGGTGCCAGACTCGCCGTGGAGACCCATCAGGGCACCGAGATCGAACTTGGGCTGCTTGAGGAGCTTGACCTTGCGGATGTGGACCTGAGATGGTTTGTTAGTACCCTATGGTCACTGCGCCAGCGACACGAGAGGCAAGAGTGCTTACGTTCTGCAGGGGGTAAATGCCCTGGGTAGACTTCTCAATCTCACGGCCAATGACCTCGGGGATGAGCTTGGAGGTCAGCTGGGTGAGAGTGCAGGTAGAGGCCTCGCGCTGGATGATCTCAGTCATCTTGCGGCGAATGGCACGGATTTGCGAAGAGGCAGCGTATGTGGTCTTCTTGATCTGGTTGGGGCGGCGCTTGGTGAAAGCAATGGCGAAGAGGCGGAGGAGGTAGTCGTCGGTGGTCTTGACGGTGACGTTGGCCTCAATGAGAGTCTGCCACTTGCGGACGAGGGAGCGGAGCTTGTCGGAGGTGAAGTCGAGGCCGTGGAAGTTGGTCAGGCAGTTCTTGCCCTGGACCTCGTCGACACGGAGCTTAACCTTACGGAAAGCGTGGTCCTCATCCTTCTGGAGATCAGCCAGAGAGACCTCGAGAATGCGGCCCTTCAAGGCGTCGTTGGCGTTCTTGAGACCGGTGGTTCTGTTGACCAGGGTCTTGCCGACACTAAAAGACACGCGCAGTCAGCACCCATGTGTCCGGTAGCTCAATCTCTTCTCGCGCTCGGCTGTCGAAAATGGCTGAATCTCGAATCGTGATCCACGTCGGGTTTGGAGAGAACTCACTCGCGAACGTTGAAAGGCGCGGGGGCCTGTATGAGAAAAAAAAGTCAGCAAACTGCAAGCATAGCATCGAAACCTATTTTGCACAGCGGGCAAGCACATACCTTGATCTGGTACCAGTCCTTGCGGGAGAAGGGGTCCACGGTCTTCTTCTTGAGACCCTTCTTGCCCTTGGACAATCTCTTGTTCCTGCGAGGGAATCACTGGTTAGCTGCTGTTGACGGTCTGCGCCTGCGAGACAACGATTGCGGCTGGTAGCATATCGTGCTCAATTCTTCCAGAGGTGGTGGTTCTCACTTTCCCACAGCCATTTTGGGCGGCTGTTAATTGTCTGGCGGATGAACGTTGAGTAGTTGAAAGGTTTGGAGGGGTGGTGTTTTCGCTGGTGATAAAATTCAAGATGCGAGAATGTGTGGCTCGAAATTCTTAGCGAGTGTGCCCCGTTCGAATTATGTAAGCCGGGTTTTTTTTCCAGCATGGGGCACTGTGCCTGCCCCTGCCCCGACCACACCAGGGCAAGCACCGTGTTGGTCCCGTCAGCAAGTAGCACAGTAATCAGCTATCGATTCCATATCTAGCACTGTAGATCACGTGATATCCATTTTTTCATAATTCTCTGGCGCTGAAGCCAGCCCCAAGAGTTCCACTCCTGAGACGTCAGTGTCTCTGCAATTTTCCAGCCAATGCCTCCCATTGGTTGACTTTTCAAGGCCACTTTAGCCAGTGACATGTCATCACAATGCTCCGGCCCCTAGTCAAGATGGAAGGCATTGAGGAAACCACTGTTGGAAGTATGCCCCGCCTTTGGAGCAAGGTGGGCGCGATGCCCTGTGCCTCCACATCGTGGTGATCGGTGAACGGGTCTCCCGCCTTACCGAGATTTACTGCGTACATCCATTCAGTTCTTCTGTCCGTGAACAAGCACGACAACATGAGGGAGGTAGTGTATATTTACTTTGCTCTTACATTCTCACCACCCGTGTGCACCTATGTACCCTTTTATCTTTTGTTCGGTAGCGCATGCGTACGGGTATCACACCCAGAATAACCTTAGAAAGCTCCTCCAAGATCCCACAACGCCATTGAACGAACGACACGCCTTTCGCGTCTCTCATAGGAAAGATGCGCAACTCCTCAACCGATTCCGAACCCACAAAATCAACGCCCTGGCGCTAAAAAGAACCATATCCGAGTCTCATCAACGTCGATGCTCTCAGTTCGACCATTCCGTACCGTTGTCCGGCCTCTTCCTCATTTCCTCGCCCTGTCTCTCCTTCGTCAAATACCAGCCGGGAGTAAGACATCTCTAGGCCGGTGTCTTCTGTTTCTTCGCCTTGTTCTGCATTTACACAGAACGCTTATAATGTGCCGAAACTCCCAATTACAGCGTTGTATCCCCTCAGGGAAGCTCCTCCGTGTCGACTCATCACGATAATTCTCCGTTTTATACGTCCTCTTCCTTGTCATCACCGCGCGGTTCACCATCCCAAGCATCAAAGTTGGGAAAGCTGAAATAGCCGTTCGAGTCTGGCCACACTGGTATCAGTAATTTGATCGTCGGATGCTAGTATCGTGGCAGTCTACGAACAAGATAGGTGTTCTCGATGGCCTTGGACTCGATTTGTAGTTGGCATGGTCATGTCTTCAGCGCTGAGTGACGCCATATGGGGAGCTGCCACCGACGTCGGTGAGTATTCGGGAGCGTGGCCTGAACATACGGCAACGCGGCTGAGGAGTTCGGTGGCCCTTTGCGACGATTGCGGGCTTGAAATGGCGCCACGGCTGGCGTTGGATGTTGTTGTGATGGTAGGTTCCGTCGCGCTGGCTCTTAGGAGCCTTGGCCGACGTCGACGATCCGGCCGAGGTGATGCCTCTCTCCTCCGCATACCGTCCGTGTCTCGAAGGTCCCGGGAGATGGTGGCCATCACGTCGAACAAATATCCTGGTATAGGTTTGGATGAGACCGATAATGGCAGAACGGCGATCGAATTTGCAACAATGCAATAGCTCTGGGATGACAAGGAACCATGATTGCTATGTTGCGCCCCTCGTCAAGTGGGCGTCGTGCGCGTTAACAACAAGCCATCACCTCCGGCTACTCGGCGGGAATGTCGGTTCCTTGGGGACGGGCGAGCCCGGTCGACGGTTTTCCGCTGACAGTACCAGCGTCCCATCATTGGACCACATGGCCGGTGCCTGATGGGGAACCGGCTCCCAAATATGTGTCTGGTATTGTATGGGTCGGTGAGCATCTGTTTGGGCATTTATACGCAAAGGCCATGCATGGCCGGCGTCACGCCTGCAGCCATTGTGGGGTTGCCAACCGCTTCTTCGACCATTTCCCGTGAGGTCCCGCTCAATCAAATCCAATCAAGGCCGCCCATGGCCATGGCATTCCCAGACCGGTCAAGGACGTAATATGCTGCTCGAGCCGGTGTACTCGGTACCTTATACTGCACAACCGTAAGTTGAAATGTAAGTAGTCATGGTAGTATTTCCGCACACCACAGGATTATGCATCGCAACACCCCCGGTCAGCCCACAGTCGAGGTCGGGCCTATCCATACCCCAGCCTGGTTTCTTCGCAGCCGTGTAGTGCGACAATCACGGCCGATCGTCGTCTCTGGACACTGGTAGAATCTCGCGGCTCTGTGCAATCATTACATATGTTACAGCTGGTTCGGTTACCCTTGCATTGTTGCTAGACAAGTCAATTCAACGCAGGCAAGCTATCTCAATGGGCGCGGGGTTGGTTCCTGACAATAAGCGTTGCTTCTGTCTGGATACATGCGGTTTGGCTTCAGATATTACCAGCTGGCCAAGGTGCTATCGCTCCAGATATCCACTCCTCGCCTGGCTCTCATCTACCGGTCCAAGACTGGCATGTGGTAGGCATACCGCATACAGGTTATACCGCATGTTCCATCAAGCCACTGCTGTCGGCAGTGGTGCAGGTGTTCCACGGAGAGGCTAATACTGCACCATCTTGTACAGGAGCTTCATCGGTTCTCACCAATGCCTTTTCATCCATCATTTAGACTAAGTATCACAACAATGTGCGTCATCCCCTGAAGCTGGCGATGATGCCTTTGCTTGCCCCTCCTCCTGGCGAATACCATCTCCGCAGGAGCTAATGGTCGAGACTGTGAAGTAAGAAAGGATTTTGTCAGCCATACACGATGCCCGCAACCCGGGGAAAGCAGGGAGACTTACTCTTCCCACATCCTGCCCTGCACAGCTCTCAGCTCTTCTTCTGTCATGCGCTTTCCGGCGGTGAAGTAACCTATAACAGCTCATCAGTCACTGACAGCGGGCCACGCTCCCCTTCTCACTTGCATACCTGCAGTGATCTTTGCATCGATCTCGACACGAGAATCTGCGGGAATCCACTCCTCGGGGAGCTCAACACGCTCGTGAATGGGGATTCTAGAGGAATTGTTAGCAAAACCTAGGATACCGCCACGCAATAAAATCGTCATTACCCTTGTCCTACAATGGCATCGTGTTTCATGCTGTTGTGGTTCACGTTAGCGTCATAGTATCTTGGATAAGGAGGAGCTACTGACTTGCTCATGCTCAGCATTCTGTCAATCTTGCGGATTCCGAGCCAGTGCAGGATATCGGGCATGAGTGCCTGGAAACGCATGTCCTTCACTCCAGCAATGTTCTCTGTTCTCTTGAAGTAGTCCGATGCTCGGTCTTCGCCCCGCTTACGAGCGTTGTACACGACTTCGCGGTCAGTTAGCAGCCTGTCATGAAACGTGCAACGTCGGTCGCCCGCGTGTAACGTTCACACGAGCTAGAAACGGATGCCGAACGAGCGACGAGATACGTACGATACTATGCAACTGTCATCAACACATGCTCAATCAATCTTGGAATTCGGCATTGCTCACCTTGGTAACTTCACCGAGGGCTCTACCCTCTTTCCGGAAGTAAATAACGACACCACTGCCGCCATTCTGCGCCTCCTTGACTGCCTCTTCGATACCGAATATGAGATAAGGGCGGCATGTGCAGATATCGGATCCGAACACGTCGCTGCCATTGCACTTGGTCACTGTTAATTGCAAAACCCCCCGTGGCAGTGAGAAGACAAACCTCATCGTGGATACGCAATGCCAGTCGCACTGACTCGTCGGACATCTTGGACGGGTCGCCGAAACAGTATACTGTCAGACCACCTACACGATACACATTGTAAGTTCATCCTCTTGCTCAAAGCCTGGGTGCTGTTACCTATGGGGGGCAGAAACACTTTAATGTCGTTGCGGGTGATCAACTATGACAAATGGTCAGCGCGCGTATCTGTGAGGTAACTGGGGCCATCAACCTCGGGGTAGCTGCCACCAGTGTGTTCGAAAAGAGACCTCCGCAAGGCCCCCTCGTCTGTTTGCAATTAGCTGCTGATAGGTTCCCAGAAAGTTATAGCCTGACGAACCAATGCCGAATCTTTCAGCTACGCCGGGGAGATACCAAACCTGCGCGAGAAGCGTCAGCAAACATTCTAAATCAATAGCTGGGAAGCTGACATACCGGCTCGACGGCGAACTTGGTTACGGCCAGCTCTCCAAGCTCGTTCAAGCAGACTTTGCCGTCAGGAACACTAGCCAGTTAGCCCCTATAACGACCCCCACCGTTTCCTGATCAAGGCTTCACTTACAGTCTTCCGCTTTTGACGCTCTCCGCCAGTTCGGGAAGCTAAACATTGTCAGATGACGTAATATCACTGCAGCAGGCGAAATGGTACCTTCATGTGTGCCTTAGTGATGGCGATGGTTGGGCGAATGTCGACTATCGCGATTCAGTCCAAGATCTCATGCTGGAGAAGGTGCAAGCTTAAGTGTATCTACTCACCGTTATGCTTCTCGATAGTGTCCTTGAAGAGCCAGGGAGACAGATGGCCCCAGGGATCCATAGCGACAATCTTCTTGGGATCTCCCCATTGAGGGAAGGGGCCAATCTTAGCAGCCGGCTCCGTGTTGGTGAAGTCGGGTCTAGAGTCAATGAGTCCATGTGCTGGCTTTGGCGGTAAAACGGCTCACCTATGCTCGAGATTAAGTTGTTTGCTGGCAACAGCCAGGGCATAGTAGATGGAGTAAGAACCACCGCTGCGAGTCTACTATTAGCTGTTCTGTCCCGCAACAGTTCATATTCTTCCCTTCGAGATGGCCGAAGGGTAGTCCATGGATGGGTCACTCACTGGGCTGAAAACACATGTCAGTTCAAGACAACTCAGCAGACAGGTCAAGGTAAGTACTAACCTCCGACAGCTTGAAATTAGACAAAATTGTCAGCTGATTTTTGCTTTTCATGCGTAAGTAAGGGGGCTGGGCCTACGGACCGTTACGTCTCCCAATGGTGGTCGATGAACGAGAAACAACAACTGGGCCACGACGATGGGGGTCCGATTCGCCCCAGTTCATGGGGAGAGGGTTGATGCCGATCTGCTTTGGATAAGTCCTGGAATGAGAACATCAGTCAGAAAGAGACCTGCCATGGTGATAGGTAGCAGGCGGTGCAGCACAACAGCTGAAAACGTACGTTAGAATGATGCGGGAGGTGAGGCCGGATCGCTGGCTGGGTGACGAGGGCACAGCTGGGGCCTGCAAGGCCAAATCGGACGAAGAGCTCTTGGCAGAATCACCAACGGTATCGGAAGGCTCGGGGGTTCGAGTTCTTTCAGGGACCTCGCCGAGAGATGAATTTGGACCGAGTGTGGCGGCATCAGGATCAACAGGCAGCTGTTGGTATCGTTGGCTCAGCAAGTCGACGGCAGCCACAAGGTCAGACTGAGTCTGCTGGATGGATTTCAAGGAACTTATGACTTCGGCCAACGAGCCGTCGTCAACGGTAGGGTGGCTCATGACGATCAATTTCTAGCTGTCACACTACAACGGCAGAAGACCCAGAGAGAGGAAGTCCTGTGAGGAGGTCGCCCGCGTCTTTCAAAGATGCGCTGTGTTGGAGTGTAAGAGACCGTAAACAGACTGCTATGATGCTTCACGAGGGAAGATTGAGCAAGAGAGACGGAGAATTGAGATGGACCCTAGGTAGAAGTGGGAGGAGAAGGAGGAGGAGGAGGGGATAAAGAGACGGGAGACGTGGAAAGGAAGCTGGACGAAATGAAGTTTAATAGGAGGCGAGCCTGAGTAAGACAAAGCTAGAGTATACTGTGTAAGGTAAGGAGAGATGGGGACAGCTATCTCTTGAGAGGCAAGGCATGCAATGACAAGTCGGTGACCACCGATGGCTGGTCCACTGGAGAGCCAAGGATGAGGGACGATGAGGATGACTATATCGAAGACAGCAGTGAGGGCTATGTAGTAAACAGCATGAGAGAAGATAGAGATGCATGAAGGAGAGACGGTCGACGCCCCGAGGACGATCTCGTGACCCCATCGGAAGGCGCCGCGCGTGAACATTGAGCTGGCCGGACGGGGAGGGGCAAGTACCCACTACCGTGCCCGACTCTTCTTATCCGTGGGTAGCAGGTGATGCGGTACATGGGCTTTCGAGTCTCACAGACGTCAAGTCCCATCTACTTTAGTTCGGGCTGGGGACGGGGGTTGGGGTGCTTTCTACGGATACCTTACTTTCCTTAGGTACCTCACCTGAAGGAAGTACTGTTAGGCATGCGGGCACTTGCACCCTCCCCCGCCAACCAACCTAACAGGATACGCTTACATAACGAATCATGAACGAGGGGCAAGTACGAGCGCATGACATACAGTGCAGTGTTGGGAACGGAGTAGTCGTCCACCTTATCTTACCTTAAGTTGAAGACGTGAAGTTCTGCTGCGTAGTACCTAGGTAAGGTATCTATCTAGGTAAACTCTGTGCTCAGCGTTGCTAGTGATAAGCATCATTGCTTGTGGGGAGATCCACGATGGGGACGCTTGGGCGTGTGGATCTGTGGTGATGCGGCGGCGGCGTCCACCTCAGTTGTCGGGTTGCGGGGCCGTCCGCGACCTTCCCAATCACCCAGGACAGACAAGGACTCGGTGGAGGAGGGGGAGAGAACTCGATGCGGCTTCGAGCGCCCAAGATAGATAAGGCGACCGACGGACCTAGCAGTATCTTACCTTACCTTAACCTACGTCAAGGAAGCACAAAGGCGTCTAAGGCGAGCAACCACCTAAGACTACCTCATAAAGGGCACTGTCATGAGACAGGTACGATGTTGAAGGCAGTGATTGCATGAGTTGAAGTTTTGAGTGCTTTACCTCAATGTACGCCCTCCCACGACCCCTCACTCGCCAACGTAGATCGAGGATATGAGGTGTCTTACGTACTTTACCTATTCACAATAATAACGGGTCGTCATGTAGCTTAAAACACTTCATGTTAAATGCGATGCATGAGGTGTTTGTTTGAATCTAACAATTGTGCAGGTGACAAATGGAACAAGTATGAGCCGCTCTTAGCTTGTGCATCAAGTGCCGGACTCCGATATCGTTCCTGGATACTTACCTAAGGTACCTTACCTTAGGTACGGTAGGTAGATATATGATATACGGATAAGGTAGTACCTACGTCAGGTCCCTAAGGTAGATATCTACCTTACCTTAGGTAATGTTAGAGCGGGGTGCGATGCCTTCCAGGTTACCTTACGGTGCTTATCAATTAATACTGAAGGTGCGTACAGGGCACCTCAGTGACCCCGCTGTCAGCCTCCGATAAGGTAAGGTACCTGGTGAAAGGTAAGGTAAGGTAAGGTAAGGAACCTTCCGGGACTCTGCCTGCCTTGGGCTGGTAAAGGAATTTAGGTAAGGGTCTAAGGTAGGTAAGGTGGTCTACCTTTCGGGCTTGATTCAACCCATGGTTCATTTACATAGGTAGGTATACAGACCTTCGTGCTTCTGTGTACCTCAAGTATCCAGATGCCTTGTTAGGTAAGCGCGTGAGGTAAGGTACGGTCCCTTCAGCTAAGACACAGAGTATTACGTCTGCGCCAGAAGAGCTTTCTGGTCCACCGTGACTGGGGTTAAACCTGCGGCACCAGTGCACCTTGCGCCCACGCCGCCTCGGCCAAAGGCTGTCCACCCGCAAAATAGATTTGGGAAGCAGCCTCCGCTATCTGAAAGTCGCCGTCGCGCATTCCACCGTCGTACCCGTCGCATTTGCTGGGTTCTTGGCTTCATTCACCACCCGTCCCTGAGCCATCTCTCTCAAACTCTCAATCTTATTGCTTTTTCTTCCACGCCTGTTCAAGCCCGCGACGTACTCTGCGCTTGCAACCGCACACGAACGCGCACAACGACGAATTGTGTAAGTGTCTATTCGCCGACACACTCTTTCGCTCCATCTTTGCCCCTTCTACATTCTACGCGCCGGTCGCGCATATCATTCATCGTCACTCAGCACCATGGGGAAGCGCAAAAGTTCGAGCAAACCTCAAGGCCCGAAGAAGGTTCGTTTGCTTCCTTCACCTGCGGGCCGGTGCAGGTTGCTGGTATGCGGGCGACGCAGTCACTGACGCCAAATCGCAGAGAGAGGTTCTCCCCTCCAAGTTCACATGTCTCTTCTGCAACCACGAAGACTCCGTCTCTGTAAAGCTGGATAAGAAAGCGGGTGTTGGTTCGTTGGACTGCAGAGTATGCGGCCAGATGTTCCAGTGTAGTATCAATTGTGAGGCTCTATTCTTGCAACTGCATTTGTCTCCCCCTTCCCAACTACTAAACCCCTGTTAGACCTCTCGGCCGCCGTGGACGTTTACGGAGAGTGGGTGGACGCTGCAGGTAAGTCCATTCTTCAATACCTTAATCGCTGTTATAATCGCCTTGAGAGTATGCATTTGACACATGTCCGCAGATGCTGTTGCCAAGGAAGCAGGACCCGTCGGCGGAAGCAATCACAAGACCTCGAGCGCTCGGCGCGCTCCCCCGAGCCGGCCAGTAGACGATGACGACGACGACAGGAGATACGGGGGCGAGGGCATCGATATGGATGATGATGAATACTAGATGAGCTAGCAACCTCTTGAACGTACATGAGGAGGTGCATTGTCAATGATTGCAGCCTAGGGTCTACTACACACGCGGGCGAGAACAGCAGCGCAGAAGAAACCCAAGCCGGCGACCAACGCCATGTGAAGTTGGCTTTTAGGACGTACGGCCACACTCAAACAGTGTAGAACCTGTCCCCAAAATCGCCGAGGCCGGGGATGATGTAGCTACGATAGCCCATTAGTATGACAGAGGCTCCTTTACATCGCAGGATGCGAACTTACTTCTTTTCGTCCAGACCCTAGAGCAAAACGATTATCAGACTCTGTGATCCGAAGTGGACTGGGGCCGGCTTGTACATACCTGGTCAACAAATGCCGTGACAACTCTCAATTTGGGAAACTTTGCGGTAAAATTCTTGATACCCTCAGGGCTCGCAATGAGGTTCAGGAACAGAATGCGGTCCTCGGGAACACCGCGAGCCTTGAGGACCTGGACTGCCATGATGGCCGAACCACCAGTGGCAAACATGGGATCCAGAAGGAGGACCCAGCGCTGGGCGATATCCTCCGGCAGCTTGTCGTAGAATAGCTTTGGCTGAGCTGTCTCCTCATCGCGCTGGATCAAAATCTTGCCGATTCTGACAGAGCGGCAGCAGTCGCGTAAACCTTGCTCCATGGCCTCGCCGGCACGCATGATGGATACGCCGCAAATCTTGCCTTGGAACATAAGGCCAGAGTAAGTCCGACCAATGGGTGTTGTCACGTCATGTTCAACGGTAGGCAAATGGTTCAGACCTTCCTCCACGAGCAGGCGAATGATGCGGTTGGAGTAGAAAATGAAGTCACCGCGCTCCGTGTTCTTGTCTCGGATGATGCTGCCGGAGATCAGTAAGCCAACGGTACCACTCGAAGAGTCGTTTCTTTAGTTATGTCTCCACGTAGGGCCGGTGATTCATCATAGTCTACCGGGTGCTACGAAAGGTAGGAAGAATACTAGGAAGCTTACGTGAGAAGGGCAATAAGTTGAGGCGTTTGGGACAAGACCACGACGTTGTCTAACTTGATTTCAGTCGAGACAGTGGCCGTGGGCTTCTGACTTTCTGAACGATACAACGGACCGACACATTGAGTAGGTCCGCTACCGCTGCCGGACTTTGATTCTTGACTTGCCATTTCTGAAGAAAAGTGGCTGCGGTGTTTGATCAAGATTTACTTGAGCGAAAGGCTGGCGGGAGTATGGCAAGGAGAAATGCAAGTGAGGTACCGGTACCGGACGAGGTGGGAGGGGTTTGCAATGATTTTGTCCAAGGACGGCTTGGCTTTGATCTTGAGGGTAGTAGGAGGAGGTAAGTAAGACGGGCTTTGGGGGTCGAAAAATCCAGACACTACCTTGAGGTAGGAAGATGAAAATAGGGCAGCGGGCCAGGAAAGCCTCCAATGGATCGATATAAAGTACCTTTGGGCCAGGTCTTCGCGGGAAGCCAAAAGGGTTAAACGGGGTGAACGGATCGAGTGTGCCAGGAGACACAATGGAGCTCGCCGTCCCCCGTTGCTCAGGTCAGATAACCACCTTAAGGCAAGGTAGGGTAGCTTGCCTAGGTATGCCTCGTGTCGAGGAAGGTAACGAAGCGAAATGGCCCTACGAGAAAACAAAAGCGTCCCGACTTGTGGGTAAGTGATAATAGGCAGGTAACCATAAACATGGAAAATACTGATCTAGCCAGTACCTTACCATGCTTCTGTCAAGGTAAGGTATGTGTCAAGGCACCTCAAGGCACTGGAGCTGCTCAATCTGATGCGCCATAGGTACCTAAGGTAGCTCACAATAACCAGCGATGATAAGGGTCGTGCGGGGCTGAGGTGGTTTGTGATGTGAGGGGTTATAACTGATCCAATTCATTCGTACCTACACCTTTG